CTTAATATATTTAATTCAGTTACTTTTCAGTTATTATATTCTATTAATACTAATTAATAATTAATAATACCAAAAATTCACACATAAAAAAGGTAAAAGGAGACACATGAACTAAGCCAAAGCACCACCAAGAGTCATACGAGAAGAGACAACATGGGAAGACAAAATCGAAGTGCCCAGAAGCAAAGAAAGCTTGGGAGCATTAATCCAATCACCTTTCTGGACTCACCTTTTGACAAGCAATGTAAAAGACTAATCAGTACCATGTGCCCATTGGTGCATTTCATATTACCTACTGATGTGGTTCATTTACCCAAACAAACTGACATTAAAGGCCCTCCATGTCATTTTTATGAGTACAGAAAAAAAAAAATGAACCTACTCTTCCCCCTCATCTTTACATCAACTAGATAATGAATAACGCTTCAAATTACTTAGCTAATGAAAATGATCAATCACTGTCTTATCTGGTTAAAAAGGGAAAGTAAAATATAAAATAAAATCATGAAGTGCTTTCATAAATCAACAGGGCCTCACCACAGCAACTTCTGAGAGAACATGGAGAAAATCAACGGTTGACTGCTATGGCGCACACTTAGATGTGATGCTACAAAAAGGTTCTCAGCAGTTGTTAAATTCATTTAGAAAAACTCACTTTATTTCTCCAACAGAGATCTCACTAGCTAATCTGTATCATAACCTGTATGGGGTCTTAATATTCTCAGCAGGATCAACATTCAGGCAGCACTGACTTGGCTATTTAATCCTGCAAAAGAACAGTATTTGGCAGGAAAAGACCCCAAAACACTAAGGCAAAGTCTCAACAGTGAGTTCCTCAGTGCAGACAGGGCCAAAATACTGAAGGTGAAAACTTAGTGGGCGTGACAGATCCTATGGTTTCTTTTTTCTTAGCCCTCTATTCAAAATGCCAGATGTGTGTCTATGCATGCGTATTTGTATATGTACATATGGAAAAAATCACACATTTTATGAATGTTTGAGATCCTCTCATCAACAAAAAATATGCAAGTGCTAAAAGTCTGGATTGTTTCCAGTGGCCTCCTAATTATTCTCCCTGCCTCAAATCTCTCCCTTCTCGAGTCCATCTTCCATACAGATGTCAAAGTAATATTACCAAAGTTCAAGGTGGATCATGTCAGACAGGCCCGTCCTTTAAAAGTCTCCAAAGTTTCCCTGTTTCAATAACAATATTAATAGTAACAGCAATAATAATAACTAGCATTGAAGTAGAGCTTCAGAGTTCACAAAGCATTTCACAAATATTATCTCATTTTATCCTCAAAACAATCCTAGAAGGTAGGTGCTATTAATATCTTCATTTTGTAGGTGAGGAAACTGAGGCAGAAAGGGGCAAAGTGACTTGTCTGGGGTCCACAGCTAGCAGGTATCTAAAGAAGGATTTGAACTGAGGTCTTCCCGACTCTGAGTCACCACCTAGCCACATGTAAACACAAGTTTACCTAGGCAGCACAGTGGATAGAGCACTGGGTCTGGAGTCAGGAAGACGCATCTTCCTGAGCTCAAATTACTAGCTGGGTGACCCTGGGCAAGCCATTTAACACTATTTGCCTCAGTTTCCTCATCTGTAAAATGAGCTAGAGAAGGAAATGGCAAACCACTTCAGTATCTCTGCCGAAAAAGACCCAAATGGTATCACCAACAGTCAGACATGATTGAACAAACCTGTAAACACAAATAATAATATAAATAAAATACAAATTCCTCTCTTTGGAATGTAAAATCCTTTACAATTAAATTTTGGCCAACCGTCCCAAATTTACTGCACTTTACTCCCCCTAACATACTTCAGGGTCCCACCAAAAAAAAATGGCCTGTTTGCTGTGGCACAAACACACATCATTCAATTGTACCAAAGGGCACAAACATACAACATTCAACTTTACAAGCTGTCACCCTGTACCTGGGATGTACTCCCTCCTCACTCCTGCCTCTCTACTTTCTACTGCCTGGCCATCTCCTCACCAGCTGTCTTGCCACACACACACACACACACACACACACACACACACACACACCCATCCCTTGGAGGTTTTAAGACTTTTACCTTCAGAACTTCTGCCCTGGGGGGCCCACTGTCCTGATTGCAGAATGTCTCACACTTGGTCCACTATGTCAGGCAAGTCACAGCTATGCTTCATCTTATACCCTACTTCCTGGACATCTTCTCAACAGAATCCTTGCCTCCACCTATACTCGCTATCACTGTTTTCCTCCTAAACAATGATTAAAACATTTCTGTCTCTGCTCCTGGAAAGAGGGTCAATCTAGTTCCTTCTGTCCCCACTCACCATCCCTATAAATGTCTGGACCAAAATGCCCCACCCTGGCCAACATTCCTCTATTTATATTACCTCCTTCTATTAGAATGGAAACCTTTTGAGGGCAAGGACTGCTTCACTTTCATAATTTTATTCCCAGAGCATGGCAAAGTGTTGGCACTTTGTAAGAATTTAACAAATGCTTTTCATTCTTAGAATCTACAGCTTCCTCCAAAGCTTGGGTTAAACATTATCTCCATATAAGGCCCTTATTAATCCCTATAAATCAGTGATTTCACTTCCTTTGAGTTCCTTAGTGATTTCTCCATTTTAAGTTCCTATTATTTATGGTATAGTGATTTTTTTAAGCAGTTGTTAAAATACTAAAGTCTAGTTATATCAAAGGCTTGCTTGGCTCTTACTGTTAACTAATACTGACCTAATAGGAGAGATAAGGAGACAGACAAGGAAGAAAGGGAGAGAAAGAGAGGAAGGAGAGGAGAGGAAAAAGGAGAGAGAGAGGAGAGAGAAAACAGAGAAAGATAGAAGAGTGAGAAGACAGAGAGAGAACTGATGTAATAAAAGTAATACTAATATAGTCAAGTATTTTTTAATGTAGAAATATGTTGAAGGTACTCAGATTTAAGACCTGGAAAAGACCTCTGAACTCATCTAGTCCAGCCCATTCCCAAAAGGAACTTCCCCTATAATATAAATGACAACTGGTTGTCCAGAATCTCCTTAAAGACTTCAAAGGAGGAAGAACCCATCAATTCATCTTGTAATTTTCTCACCATCCACTTACTTCTCTTGACTTCTGAAACTGTAGTTACATTTTCCTGGTTATTCACTCCTCTTTTTGATCATTCCTTCTCTGTCTCTTTTTCTAGGTCCTCTTTGCATTCTCTACACATTAATCTTCTCTACAATTTTATCCTTGTTCCTATTCTGTCTTTCCATTCTCTCTCTTAACAATATCATTCTCTCCTACAACCTTAACTATCACCCAAACACGTCTGACTCCTGAGTCTCTATCTCCACTCCTGACCTCCCTCGAAAGTTCCAGGCTCATATTTCCAACTGTGTACAATATATTTTCATCTAGATGTTCCACCTGGACTTCACTCTCAATATGTGCAATACTTGGCTTACTACCTTTCACCTAAAATAGGTTCCCTCTTCTCCACTATTTACTGGTAACGTTATTTAAATGGACATGTCTTGTTTCTCCAACTAAAATATGTTCCCTAAGGACAAGAACTATGGCTTAAGCTTCTTTTGTGTTCTCACAGTGTGGTACACATAGCAGATGCTCAATAAATAGATGTTAAATGACTCTGTATACCTGAAGCATAACTGTTGTCATTAGGTAACATGTTTGTTCTTAATAGCAAAGATATACATGAGGCTTTAAAGGTATAAAAATAAATCTTTAAATTGCCCTAACTTCTGCAAAGTAACTTCTTTGCTCATGTACTATTTCAACCGTTAGAAAGAACTAATGAGTTTTTAACCTCCTCTACTTTCATTCTAATGCTGTTAATTGAAATGGGAAATCTCATCTTCCTATCTCTTTTTCAGATTTTACAGAGACACAGGCAAACTCCATCCCTTTTGTTTTCTCAAAGAATAAGGAGATTAAGAAGTTAAATTGTTCCAAATAAATTATTAGTTATCTTGGTCACAATTAATAATATAGCCACAGAAGGAAATCCAACACAAATCTGAGCAGGTAGGAACAGATTCTATCTCCCCATCCTCAAGGCCAAGTAAAGTCTAAGGGCATTAGAGGAATGACATTGTTCTTTGAGAACTAAGGGTTGAGATTTTTTAAAAATGCTTCTGTAAGGAAGCAGCAGCATGACATTTTATTCAGTCACAAGAAACACAATGTCTCAAATGCTGCCTAGGCAACTGTTAGGTAAAAGAAAGCTGAAAAAAATAAAGCACATGGAGAAAATAAAGAAAAAGCAATTTTAATAGCATATAATTTATCCTGGAAAATGAGAGAAAATGCAAATTAGAAAAGAAAATATATCTTTAAACAGCAAAAAATGAAAATTCGAGAATGAAAAAAATCTCTGCTACCAACTTGCAAATCACTTAATTTTCATGAACCTGAAAACTTCATCAAAGTTGTCAGTCATTTAAGAAGTCTTTAATAATGACCTTCCCATCCCCACCTTAAGCCAACTAAAAATTAGACTAAATTATAATTTTGCTACTAAAATGTAATACAATTACATAATATACCAATAAAAAATGCAATGATGCTATCACACCTGATGTGAAACTATAATTCAATGATGCAGTAAATTACTTTATTCACAGTTAGAGGTCCAGAAAAGTTATATACATTTCTAACTAGATATAATAAAGCTAAACTGCAAAGTTATTATTAGCATAAATAAGACTCAAATCTGCCTTGAGGAATAAAATAGAACACTGACAACAAAAAAGTTTTTCATTGTCTACAGATAACAATAATTGTTTCTTTTTTTCCCCAGACATAGGATTCCTCCATTTTTATCATCACTTCTCTCCCCCATCTATCTGTCACATCTGTGCAGGACAAATTTGTCTTGTACACAAAGTGAGAAGTAGATATTCTGAGATGTAAAATTTAACTGGGACATGGAAAAAAAGGGAGCAAAGTTTGTTACAAACACATGGTTTTTAGAACATTAAAACTGAACTTACCTGTTGGTGCTCTAAATATGAGATCTTTGTCCAATAACCAATATTTTTAGCAGTGGAAATAAACCATGTTCACATATACATTCTCACTACAAATAAACCAGAGAATTTTAAAAAGTTAGAGCTAAATGGAAAGATGATTCATAGGTTCTTTTCTGAGAGGCTATTAAAGGAGATGGTCAAATTGGTTTCATTATGAACCAGCACCACACCCCTCATGAGAGCAACAAAAATATTCATTTCATGGGATACTCGGTCATCTTGACTTGTAGTACTCATGAGAAGCACAGAAATGGGATTCACAATGAAGAAAATTGAAACTGATGTTCTAACATCTGCTACAAAAGATAAAGAAACAAAGAAATTCTATGAAGACTACTCAATGACTTGAATATGGACTTGGGATTAGGGAAGAGTAGAGAAAAATGAGTTGGAAAATGCAGTCCAAATTGAGAAATGAAAGAAGCAGAAAGCTATTCTGAAATCTCCCCTCTAAATGTTATGAATACTTTCTTCAGGTAACGATTGAGAAGGCATGGGGTATAGTGAGCAATGAGCAACACCATATCACAAATGAAAATGACTATATTTAACAGACAAGACATTACTAGTTATCAACATAAGCCCCACATCTCAGTATCCAATATGCTACATGAGGGGAAAATGTCACTGAAGAAAATAAAGTAAAGAAGGTGTGGACCCAATAATAGTCTAATGGACAAATGGCCTAATGTGCAAAGTGTATTCAGGAAACTCACATTAAATTAGTCTGATGGAGTATCGAGTTCAAGTCAAAAAGTCGACAAAAAATTTGTTAAGGGCCTACTATGGGCCAGGCACTATGCTAAGCAGTGGGAATCCAAATAAAAGGAAAAAGCAGCCCCAGCTCTCAAGGAGCTCATGATCTAATGAGGGAGAGGTAATAGGAAGCCAATGGGATTCACCAAAAGTCTATGGGTGGCAGGGTCAGGGAGAGGGGAGGTAGTATGACACAGTCAGACCTGAGCTTTTAGGAAGATCAATTTCACAGGTAAATGGAAGATAGACTGGACTAGAGTGGGGAAAGATATAAAGCAGGGAGTCTAACCAATAGGCATTTGCAATAGTCCAGGCATGAGGTGATTAGAGCCTGAACTAGGGTGGTGGCAGTGTCATAAGAAATAAAAGGGGTTTATATAAGAGATATTTTGATGTTAAAATCAATAGGTATTAGTAACTGATTGAATATAGATGGTGAAGGGCAGGGAGGTTGCAAGCTTGGGTGACCGGGAATATGATGGCACCCTCAACAGTAATAGAGAAGTTAGGAATAGGAGAGGATTGAGGAGAAATATAATTAGTTCCATTCAGGATATGCTAAGTTTCAGATGTCTACAAGACATCCAATTCAAAATGTCCAATAGGCAGTTGGAAATACAAGACTGGAGGTCAGCAGAGAGGTTAGAGCCACACAAATAGATCTGAGAATCATCTGCACAAAGATGATAATTAAAGCCATCAGAGCTGATGAGATCATCAAATGAAAGAACAGAGAGAAAGAAGAAAAAACAATCAAGGACAGTGACTTGGGCAAAACCCAAAAGGATGTGACTTGGGTGAAGATCCAGCGAAAGAAACTGAGGAGCAAAAATCCAACAGGAGGAGAACCAAAAGAGATCAGTGCAAAAAAAGCCTAGAAAGAAGACAGCATAAGGAGAAAAGGGTGATCAACAGTGTTATAAGATGCAGAAAAATCAAGAAGGCTGTAGAGTGAGATAATGCCATCAGCTTTCACAATAAAAGATTATTGGGAACTTTGGGGAGAACAATTTCAGTAGAATGATAAAGTTGGACTGCAGAAAGTAAAGAAGAGAATGAGAAGAAAGTAGAGGTGACTATTGCAGAATGCCTTCTTGAGGAGTTGACCTATGAAAGGGAAGAAAGATATGGAATGCTAGCTACTCAGGGTGGATAAATGAAGTGAGGGGTTTTTTTGAGGCTGGGGGAGAAATGCAGACATAGGGAAGCAGCCAATAGATAAGGAGAGAGTAAAGATAATAGAGAAGGGGAAATCTTCCAGAGAAGACAGAATGAAATGATATCATTTGTGGAGTTTGCCTTAGCAAGGAAAAAGGCCACCTCTTTATGTGAGATAGGAGCAAATGAGGAGAGAGTAATATGGAAGGCATCTGAGTATTTATATATATTCATTCATTTATCATTAAAGGGGGTGGAGGTGGTGATTTTTCATACCTCCAAGGTGGGACAGATTATTTTTGCAAATACAACTCTCTTATTTGTTATGTACAAGTAGCATTAGACTCTGCATAGAAAATTAAATAAAACCAAGTGTGAGACCAAACCTCATGTTTGGAAAGATCAAATAATATATCCCTCTCATGTACTTCCTCAGTAACATTTTTTTGGGACAATGAAAAGATTTTTATAAACACTGCCTGTGCTTGGCACAGTGGATGGCACACGGTAAGAGCTTTAAAAATGCTAGCTGACTGACAGTCTATTTGGCAACACTTTTAAAAGTTCAAAAAAATGGCTTAGATGCAAAATATTTTTATAAAATACTTTATTTGCTATATCATAATCCTCTGTTGCACACTTGCTCTGTATACACAAAGATAATGAAAGGTAGAATCATCTGGGAAAATATTTCAGTTCATTTTCTTGTGGGGACAGGTTTTACTGAATCATCTATCCTCTTGTTTGGTCACTATTAATGTACTTGCTGAGTATGACTAAAATACAATCCATGAACAGAAGAAAATTTTCATCTATGTGATGTTATCATTGAAGCTCAAATTCCAGCTTCAGCAATTAACCAGTTCTGACCAGTTTGGCAATACATACACATGTACACACATATGTGCTTATATATGTATATATAATTTATATATGTGTGTATGTTTGTTTATTTATTTATTTATGCTGCAAGAGAAATTCCAGGAGACAAAGTTTTCAGCATGCTCTATTTATTAGCAGGGCTAGCAATTTCCAAAAAATGGGGTCAATGACTCCTAAAGACCCCAAGTTAGGGATGATAGGGTCTTTTACCATGACATACAAGATGATACAGCAAAATCCCAAGCAACAGAAGTATGTCTTATTCTGATTGGCTAGTTTTAATGAGGAGGTGAAATAAGAGTCATCTCAGCTCCTCTCCACTACATCATTGGGAGCTAAGATCAGTTCCCTGGTGATGGGAGTTGCTACAACAGTTTTAAATTAATGAAACTGACCTTTAGGTTAATCAATTTTCGGATTGTGATGTGATGGGTAGAGGTACAAATCATAACGTAAGGTTGGAGTTACAAGTCAAGAGTAAAACTGTGAACCAAGTGACCTGGGGTTACCCAAGTGAGCTTGCAAGACTGATGAATTTAAACACATACGGTAAAAGGAAATATTGAATCTATGCTAGCTTGATTAAGTATTAACAAAATAGAATTAAAAATCAATTTTCAATTTCACATATACACACACATATATATACAGACATATATACATACACATACATACATAGATATAACAAGACTACCTTCTTCCAAATTAAAGGCTTCCACACAAAACATGCAAACAGTGGTAAGATATTTATGTTTTTGAGTGATATTAACAAAGCGCCCTCCATTTTAACCTCAAATGACTTCTCGCTTTTCATCCATCTCATATTTCTAACTATCCTCATGTTTGCTATACATAAAAAAGGAATAAAAAAAGTGTCACTCTGTCAATTGTTTGGGTTAATATAAGACCTAATTGCCTGATACACTATAATTTTGCCACCAAATTACAATTAGCATGCAATTCTCATGCATGAGTTGACCCAATTACATAACAAATTTATGCCTTTAGGGATTTCTCTTGACTGCTTGTCTCGTGTCCACCATACAACTCAATTTCACACTGTCAGCATCCTGAACATGGTTACAGTCAGTCTCTGTCAAAATGATTTATTTAAATTACAAACAAAGACTCGGAATCACTAGATAATCGCTCCCACCCTCACGCCTACCCTCAATATCCAAACTGACTTTGAGTCAAGTGTTTTAATAGATCATGGACATAGGCTTTCAATCACTAGGCAACGTCTAGCTCCAATGATCTAATATTTTGGAAGATGGCTCACAATAAATCACAAAGAACTAGATCAGTAATGTATGCCCATTTAAGCCAACCAATTTGTAAATGATTAACTTATACTACATTCTCAGATTTCAGTGATAAATAACATTACTAAAGAGGTTACTTCAATCATCAATAGCTTATCAATTTGTCATAAGAAACAAAAATCTTCATTTCAATATTCTCAGACATCCTAGGAGTTTTCTTCAACTATAATTTTGGTGGAGGACATTTAAAAAAACTTTTGAACCCATAATTATTTCTTATGAAAGGGAAAGATTAGTGTAAACATGAGAATGAGTTTGTTTTAAAATAGGCAAGATTTTGTCAACTGAAACATACAGTTTTTAGTCGTGAAAGGAAGATACATGGTTGCTGTGATAAACAGTAGGGGCAGAGAGAGAAGGGGAAGGAAAGAAGATGGTGAAACAGGGGGAAAAGAAGAGAGTGAGAGAGAGAGACAAGGAGATAGATGGAGCAAGGGAAAGAGACAGGGGTAAGGGAAAGGAGAAGAGAGGGGGAAGGGAGAGCAAGGGAGAGAGGGGGGAAAGTAGAAAGGTAAGGGGGATGGTAGGGGAGAGAGGGAAAATATTTATTAAGCATTTACTATGCTTAAGTCACTCTGCTAATGCTGGGGATACAGATCAGGACCACCGGCAGATGGCCCAGCTCAAGGTTGCTGGTGAGGACATGGAATAACGCAGAGAGTAAGCTGATTTGAGAATGAAATGAGTATGGCTAGAGTCATTCATGAAATGGTGATACTGTCCAGGGACTTGCTAACCAAGAGAGATTTGAATTCAGGAATACCTGAGTTTGAATTCTGCTTCACACACGTAAGAAGTGTAATGCTCAGCAAGTCATTGAACTCATAGGCATAATGGGGATAATAATGGCATATTCCCAACAAGACTGTGGTAAAGACCAAATGAGTGTGTGTGTGTGCATGTGTATGTACATACCCATACATATATACACATATATAAAGTGCTTTGGTGAACTTTAAAGGCTATATAAATATTAGCTATTATTATGACTATGATTATTATTATCATTCTGATAATTCTCCTTAAAGTCAATGCTATTTGCACACACAACCCCTACTATTCTCCTAATGACATAAGTATAAACACAAATACAATAACAAATATACTCACCAGATAATTCATTCTATGAAATACATCATTTGGCCATCTTTTTTTATTGCTTTTTACATGATTTCTCTCCTTCCCCTAAATTAAATGAGAAAATAAATAAGGAATACTTATTTTCTGGGTTCTATTGTTAGTACAAAGTTTGCAAGTGTTCCCCCCGGGCTTTATGTTACCTTTTAGGAGACAGTTTATCTCCAATCTGTTTCAGCTAGTTGAGAATGCAGTTTGTGATGTAGTTAGTAAACAGGCAGAACAAAATGTGCCAATAATGTTCCCAAAGACTGCCCTATCACTCAAATGGGTAGATATGGCAACAGCTCAGTTATGTGGGCCTACCACAGATAGGCTTGATGCTGTAGACATAGAGACAGTAAATGCCTGAAATTTGAATAAGCCATTTTCATATGCCTTCCAAACTGCCAAAAAAAAAGCAAAGAATGCCCCAATGACAGTTAAAGTGCTTTAGAACAAAAGCAAGAGCTCCTTTTCCTTTCTCAGATTCTTCATGGGTGTTTACAATGCACTTTTAGAAAAAAAAATCCCACAAGACACTTTTTGCTAAATAAAAAAAACTTTTCAAGTAAATAGGCACTCGCATAAAGTTCTCAAATAGTAGGATGCTTATTAAAAATAAATGGCAGCCAGGTAGTTTTGGCATGGAAAATGGTAAGACCCTCTTGTGACATATAAAAAGTTCAAGAGACATAATTTCTGGGTAATTAATCATTTTATTAATCATGCTACCACACAATTAATAAAAGAGGATCAGTGATAATCTCAAATGCCAAAGACCCCTCAGAGAACCCTCTCAATACTTATATGCCCTTGGAAGAGATGGTATTCCTGAAGGTGGCAATCAACTCTGATTGGCTAATAATTAATGAGAGACTGAATATTATAATGAGAGGTGGGCTTATTCTAATGAGGGTCTGGGGGACTCGACTGATCACCCAGTCTTGGTCAAAGGGATTTATCTATACCCATCTAGGATAATCTAGAAAAAAGGGAGAATCTACATTTTGGCAGACCTGTCTGAGTAAAATACAGTGGGCTGGAATCCATCAATTTACCCAATCTCAAATTTTACTAAACTGCAGCTTACCTAAGCTAAAATTTAAACTAAAAAAAAAAAAACTTTACTTTTTGAATAGATCTGAGTTTTCCCTCTCATTATCAGCCCTGAACTTCAAAGGATACCTGAATAAACTACAGGGGCTGATTTATGAATGAGCAAGGAGAAAAGGGGAAAAAAACCTTGGTGCTAAGTCAATAATTGGTTATTAATAGGAGAGAGAAATAATCATTTCTCTCAGTGCAAAGCTAGTAGAAACAAGCAGGCAGAGTTCAGAACTCCTGAGTCAGCACTGGCCATCTGTAATTAACCATACAAGAACCATACTGGATCATACATACTTACCTTTAGAGGAAAAAAGTAAATTTATTAAAAGCAATCTTCATTTAAATGCAACAACTAATTCCTGTAGAATTCCCCTGGAACTGGTCCTCGAGTCAAATGTTGTCTGTCTTAAGAGCTTAGTCCAATAGTTCTTCATGAATATTAACATACACAAATCCAATCGAGGCTTCTTCAGCGATCCTACATGAAGCTCTCCTTTTCTGTTTTAGCAGTTGGGTTCTATTCTTCTATATCTAACCATTCAGGTGATTTGAAATCTTGCCTCCCCACCAGTTCCCTATTCTCCCTGAAGCTGTAATAAGAACAGAACAAGGCAGTCAGAACGAGAATTTTAAATTGTAGCATTTACTAAGCCATCCATGTTCAATATACTATCCTTGCCAACACTGAAAGAAAAGGCCAGGATCCAAATCACTAAGGTATTTCATTACAGACAAAATTTGAAATTTCCGAGTGTGTGTTCATTGTTAAATGGTTATATATCTTAGATGAATGAATGTAAAAGCATATAAAAACAGCACTATAATGAAACGCACAAAAGCAATTCCAAATGCCTATGCTGTCATGAGATACGTAAAATATCTAGAATTTGTCATTAGGACCTTAATTTGTCAATTCCCCTAATATCATCCTAGACAAGTCTTTCTAATAATCCTTCTTGGAATGAATGAGCCTAACAAGCCATAGATTTCTGTTTAAAATGTGTCAACTCAGTATCTCCAATATCTCTGACGTGATGATTCAGATCCCCTTTTGGCCTGACCATTTCTACATCTTCTCTCTAAAATACACATAATCCAGTCCATAGGCTTAAAACAACAGACTGGGTTAATATACTAGAATGCCTAGGTTAAACCTAAATAGTGTGGAAAGATGGAAGTACCATCTCTTTTTTTTTTCTTTCCCAGACTGGATCTGGCATTTCTTTAGTATAAGACACATCTGGTGAGAGATATACACACACACACACACACACACACACACAGTGAGCTAATCTGTACTTGCCTGGTACGTTAGTCTCAGAGAGTTGTCCTGAGCACTGCAAGTTAAAGAGACTTCCCCAGGGTCACACATCATTTTACAATCGCTTGCAATCTATCCAACCTTTCTTAATCAGAAAACAGAAGTAATGAAATACATGTGTGGGTAACCTGGAAATAACCTCAAATTTACTGGCACAAAGAAGTAAAAGTTTCACTATGCAGCAAAACTTTTTTATCAGCCTATACTCTCCTTAGTAGTCAATGCCAAGAAAAATCATATAATTAACATTTTGGATTAACCTGCCAACATGCATAACATATATGTGTGTGTGTATACATATATATACATATATACATATATATATACACACATACATATATATATATATATAGCTGAGTTATACCATGATTACAAAAACCACTGATATTTTTAAAATAATGAACCAGCAAAATTATTTTCCCCTAGAAATCAATCCAATTTTGAAGCTCTAGCTATAAGGTGATGTACTAATAAAGACATGGATAGGATAAAAAAGAGAAAATACATACCTGTTAGAGGTTTACTGGTCACTAGAGGAAGGATTTTTCAAAGAGCCTCTAGTATATGAAAATTCTATATCCCTGCTAATGATAAAAAATGCATTTAAAACAGCTACTTATTTTCTTAAGTGCAAAAGTTAAATTAAATTTGAATTTTTTAAAGTATTTGCTTACCTTCTCATCAGCTACTGCATATTGACATCTTTAAATTAGTCATCATATGCATTTCTGAGGTGAAAAGTTTAGTTTCGGGAAAATAGAGTTGATTGATGATGGAAACTTTTAAATGCAGTATTGTATGTAGCATGATCCTTGTACAAATTAATACAGTTTCAAGAAAGGTGGTCAGGAAAAGAAATGTCATTAAATGTAACTCTGATTGGAATATGTTGGTGATTCCATTTTAGTTTTTAAAAGAAAAAAAAACCTTTTGACTGATGGAGGGAAAGAAGAAAGGGAAAGGAGGGGGAAAGGAAGCATCTTCAATATTTGGAGAATTGTTTTTTATGGAATAAAAGTCACAGCCCCTTGAAATTAAGACCCTTCTGGTCATAGGGGGGAAAAAGTTCTTAGAAATATCCATTTTTATTCAAATAACCTAACAGGGCTAGCCTTAAGCAAATTAATAAAATAAGCTGTTTGTCTTTGACTGTCTCCCTATAGATTCTCCACTTCTTTCCTTCCATCCATTTCAATTTTAAGGGAAATTCTGATTTATTTCTTTGAAATCCTTATTTTAAACTCTTCATACTGGGTCTTATTTTCCAATATTTTGATTTACTAGTGGCAGATGGTATAGCTCCAAACACAATTCATTGCCTCTAATGACCCTGGTCTTTTTTTCTGTTTCTCTGCCTCATACCCAACTTTCTCTATGAAGCTCCTCTTGGAACTCCTTCCCTTTTCCAAGATGACAACCATGATCAAAGGGGTGGTGGCAAGAAGAGGCATGCAATGTTAGGCAGGATGCGGAGCTCAAGGATAATGGAGAAAGAGCAAACCTGTCCTGGATTTCCCTAAGTCAGAAGACTGGATAGTCACTTTTCCAGTTTCATCTTTTTGGAGAGAAGAGAAGAGAAGAGAAGAGAAGAGAAGAGAAGAGAAGAGAAGAGAAGAGAAGAGAAGAGAAGAGAAGAGAAGAGAAGAGAAAGAGAAGAGAAGAGAAGAGAAGAGAAGAGAAGAGAAGAGAAGAGAAGAGAAGAGAAGAGAAGAGAAGAGAAGAGAAGAGAAGAGAAGAGAAGAGAAGAGAAGAGAAGAGAAGAGAAGAGAAAAGAGAAGAGAAGAGAAGAGAAGAAAAAGAAGAAAAAATAAAACCCACAAATAGTTTTAATACAATTCACTAACTTTTCCAAATTGTTTTCTTTTTCTTCTCAACCTAGCTTTTAGTGCCCAGTAGCTAAAATACAATTTTTGAGAAAACAGTGGCTATATCAGTCAGAAAGCTAAGGATCCCTGCATTCAACTCATTACATCCCTCTGGCAGAGTTGAACCCTTTCTATTAATACTAGACCTGCTTTCCCTGACCAGACACATCCATGTTGTCCCACCACCATTTGCTTTGTTAAGATGGCTCTCTCCAATCCCCAGGGACAAAAATAACCTAGAACTTTTAGGGAAGAGATCTCCCCCCGCAAAAAAAAGATACATTGCTGCTGAAATCACAGGTGGTAAAAATATTATCTGTACCACTGCAAGTGAAAACCCAGGTGATTTTAAATGTCCCAGTACTTGAAACTTCATAAAACTCAAAGCTGTATGATGTGAAATATTCCCTGAAAATTGAGACTGTACCATTTATAAAGTCTGGAGGAGTGAGGGAAATACAAAATGGATCACTAATTTAGGCAGCAAAATGAGCTTCACATGCTTGTTCGCAGTGTTCAACCACTGTTTTAATTCATACTCACCTAAGAATAAAATTTTACTGAAATGCTTTTTGAATAGTTCCCTAGTAAAGAACTCCTTAAAAGAGCCATCTTCCTAGGTTTAGAGCTCTAAACTGCTTAATAAAACCCCTTCCCATTCCTGTTTTAATGAGTGATGAATTAACACTTCCATATCACTAGATGGGTAGTCTCAATTTTCTTTTTCAAAGTAAATCCTTTACTGTGCTGAAAACAACTTATCAAATTCATTTTTACAAGATACACTGCTTAAAGCAATCACACATATAAGTGCCTGCTAAAAACAGACCTCTTGCCCCATTTGGATATGGAACTAACCAATTTTAATACATAAAATTCTGAGTATAACTGCAAACGTTAGATTTTTCAGGATACCAACCCAATTATCTGCATTTTTATATACTTGATCACAGTGGGGGGAAACAAACCTCACTGTGTTTCCAAAATTACCTTCTGAAAAGATATTCATAAATATGTAAAACAATAAATAAGCAGACTCTGGACCATAATAATTAACACTAAAGGGAATGTCAAATGTCTGTTTTAGAATAGGAAAAGTAGACATACAAAACATATCATTTTGATGCCCAGTATTGTAGATATCCATGATGTAAACAGAGAAGAAAAAGTGTAATGAATGAGATCTATGTTTTGTATGTGTGTGTATAGAGAGAAAAAAGTGCAGTCACTCACACGTTTGGGGACACTTCCCCCTCCTGCCTACACACCCACACATGAAATCAACAAGAGAGTCCATTCCTTTCACTCTCCTCAGTTCCAGCAGCAAAGCCTTCCATGTGACCCAATCACACCTTTCAGCTGCAATATGGCCATCTTTGTGGCATGAGACCATCCCTCAAGGAAATTGTCACCTACGTTACTGATCTGTTCCTGAGTCCTTTTCAGTCTTTGTAACTCAGGTGTGTCCGTAACAATGCTGAAGCCTCTTCCTTTGCTTTCTTCAAAATCCCGTTTATATTTTACCTAACAGAGGAAAAAATAAATAAATAAAAGAGATATCACCTTTACAATTCAAAATAAGTCAGGTCAGGATAATTTCAAATGGATTAAGTGTCTTCCTCAGGTTGTCACAATTCATCTTAGGGGCCAAAACAGAAAAGTTGAAAGTAAGACCTGCAGACGGCAGGAAAATCCCAAATCAACAGCCATGAGTGCTCACTAGATAACAAGATTTTCAGTCCAAAGAAGGCTGCTATGAATTCAATAGCCAGTCACACTCTCCTAACACCACTGGACTTTTTCTTTTCTTCAAAAATGTCGACAGAGGATAAAAGATTTTATTTGACTACAGAAAAAAATATGCTGAAAAAGAAAGTAAAACTTGTCTCACAATAATACTGTTTCAGTCCATTATTTTGGGCACCAGCTGAAGCTGAGAAGACAGGGAAGTGGAAGGAGGAAGAAAGCAAGAAGGAAACATACACATGGGGAAAATGGTAGGCAAAGATTGTCCTCAAGCAACTTAGGGGGAAAAGGCATATAAATAATTATAACAACAAATGTATATAATTCTAAGCTTTGCAAAGTGAAATATATATATATTATATATATATATATGTGTGTGTGTGTGTGTATATACATATATATGTGTGTGTGTGTATATATATATATATATATATATATATATATATATATATATATATATATATACACACATATACATCCATTCATCCATTTATTTATATACATACATACACACACACACATGCATATACACACACATATATCTTCTTTTGGGATGAGAGGTGAGAAGCAGTATAAGGTAGTAAATTATGAATTTACTTGGGGTCAAAAAGACCTGGGTTCAAGTTAGACCTCTGACATACTGACTATATGGGCA